TTGTTTTTTCACTTTAGAACGGTGACCCTTTGTACTAGTTCTAATGCCATGGCAAATGTTTGAGCAAAGCATGCTAACTGTTCTGTCTTTGGCTGCACTGACAAGCACAGAACACTGTTTAGAGTCCCAGCATCAGAGGAGACAAGAGAGCAGTGGGTTTATTGATTTATTTACTGTATATTACACTGCTGCCACACAGATCTAATATAAACATGTAATTTCTTTCCCAGCTGTTTACCTTCACAGTCATAATTGCCTGTGTTTGTAACTCATTTGTGTTTTTAACAAACTTGTGTATTTGACAGTTTAAGTGCAGTAAGACAAGAAAGAGAGCCTAGTTTAGCACTCAAATGCCGTGTGACAGCCACTTTCCGTGCGTGTGCTTAGGATGTGTGCCGTACATCAGAAGTTTAAACTGATATGGTTTAAAATGCATGATTTCAGCTCGATAGACATGATCAAAACCAAACAGATGTTTTTACCAGTGTATCTGAGGAAGGAGCAGTAAAGGCACAGCCCTGTTCTGGAAAAGGGGGCATTTAAAGAGACATGCACAAAAATAGCTTATTTCTGCTTCCACTCAAAATAGGCATTTTCAAAATGATATAATAAATGATCTGTGGGGTATTTTGAGCTGAAACTTCAGAGACACATTCTGGGGACACCTGAGACTTATATTACACCTTATTAAAAGGGGCATAATACTGTAGGTCTCCTCTTTCTTTCTCTGTGGGTCTCTGGAATTGTCAGTCAGCTGTCAACAAAGCAGACTTCATTTCTGCTTTTTCTTTAAAATCCACACTCAGCATCTTGGGCTTGACTGAGACCTGAATTCGTCCAGAAGACGCAGCAACCCGAGCTGCTCTGTCTAACAATTTCTCCTTCTCTCACACCCCCCGTCAAGTTGGCCAGGGTGGGGGTACTGGACTTTTTATTTCTAACAATTGGAACTAAATCAACCCACTCTCCCCTATGCAATTATAACTCATTTGAATCTCATGCGATCACTGTAACAGCTCCTATAAAACTCCAGGTTGTGGTAATTTACCGCCCTCCTGGGCAAATTCTATCCACTTTCCTAGAGGAGCTGGATGGGCTGGTGTCCTCATTCCCAGAGGATGGCAGTCCACTTTTAGTCTTTGGCGACTTCAACATTCATCTGGACAAGCCTTATGCTACAGACTTCCATTCACTCCTTGCTTCATTTGATCTCAAACGACTTACCACTACAAGCATGCACAAATCAGGCAACCAACTTGACTTAATTTACGCACGCAATTGTATTGCAGACAACATTTTGGTAAAACCCCTACATATCCGACCAATTCTTCATTACATTGAAACTTCATTTTGCTACCTGCGTGCCACTACCCCTATACCGGTTACTTTTAGATGAAACCTACGCTCCCTTTCTCCCTCCCGTCTTTCCTCCATTGTATCCTCCTCTCTTCAACAAGATCAATAGCGCTCCAGACACACGTAATCTCTTCAAAACATTCAATTCTCTCCCCTGTCCCCCTCCACCACTTCTATAACAGCTGATGATTTCACCACATTCTTCACAGACAAAACCAGAACAATCAGTAGTCAATTCTCAGCCCCACAAACACAGGACTTCAAACCAACCACACCCACTACAAAAACTCCCATCTTCTCCTTCTGTCCCCTCACTGAGGCTGAAGTATCAAAACTTCTCCTCTCCAGCCATCCTACAACATGCCCTCTAGACCCAATTCCCTCACACCTTCGCCAAGCAATCTCTCCTACACTTTTACCAGCACTCACACATCTCTCCTCACAGGAACAAGAGCCCAAGTTACCCCTCTCTTTAGCTCCTCGCAGTGGCTACTGGTTGTGGCTCTCATCAAGTTCAAGACATTGATGCTTGCATATAGAACAGCCACAGGCTCAGCACCTGCCTACTTCCACTCACTACATTCCTTCCAGAAGTCTGAGCTCTACTAGTGAGCGCTGCTTTGTGGTACCATCACAGAGAGGCTTAAAATCACTTTCCAGAACATTCGTTCACCATTCCTGGCTGGTGGAATGATCTTCCCACCCCATCCGGAACGCTGAATCCCTGACAATTTTCAAGCAACAGATGAAAACTCTCGAAGCTACTTGAAAGTCTCTTTATTCCTTCTCTTTCTAGTTTGTACTTATTTGAACAATGCATAAAACTTGGTATTACAAGCACTTCCTGTGTCTGTTTGCCTCAAGAAGAGTCGCTATATGTATCCCCCAATTGTAAGTCGCTTTGGATAAAAGCATCTGCAAAATGACTTAATGTAGATGTAAGATGTGAGCAAAGCATGGAATGCAGCTAATCTTAAGAATGTGAAAATTATCCCGTTCACTCATTCACAGAAAATATTCATTTAAATCACTTTGTATGGAACAGCTGTATGCGAGGAAGCATGAATGATCATGAATAGTGAGAGTCACACTTAAGACAAAGGCCCACATAATGAGCCTTTCAGGCAGGTGTGTCAGAGGGAAGAGATACAAGAAAGAATGAGGACAAACAATTTAATTTAGAATATATTCAAATACCATACAAAACTTGATTAACTTGTAAGTGCAGTTAAACCGTTTATTAGGAACAAATAAACAAGAGTCAAGACATTGTGGGTGCAAGATCCATAATATCCAAAACAGTGGCAGGAAACTGGAACGCAGGAAAACGAGAGACAGCAGAAACTGCACAAGAAAACAAATGGACGCGAGCAACACAATGACCGAACAAAGACAGAGCAAACATGGTGACAGTGGTATAATATATGCTACATTACAAATCTTACTGTTTAAAAACTTTTGACTGGTGTTTTTTTAAAGGGGTCATATGGTGCTTTTTCAAGTTTTCCTTTCTCTTTGGAGTGTTACAAGCGGTTTGTGAATAGATAAGATCCCTAAAGTTGCAAAGACTAAAGTCTCAAACCCAAAGAGATTCTTTATAAAAAGTTAAGACTCGTCCACACCCTCCTAAAACACCTCGTTTAAACACACCCCCATGTGTCTACGTCACGATGTGGGAAGATTTGCATAACGCCACCCAAATGTTCACACAAAGAAAGGAGTAACTTTGATTCTCGCTGCTGCCGCCGCCGCCATGTCGTGGAGACACCGTTTCTCGTTGTGAAAGCGAAATTACTTTGTTCGTCCAAAAGAGGACAACTAGAAATCAGTGGTTAAGTTGTATTTACAACACCGTTCCAGAACAGTTCAAACCAAATATTCAGATGTGCAGCCCATTTTATGGAGGACTATTTCCTGATCCTGGGAGAATAGACCACAATGCCGGCTGTTCTGACACAGACCGCAATTACGTTTTCATATTTAAAGAATTTGCCACTGATGATCCAAACGAGAGTTTTGAGAAGTGTAGAGTAGCGCTTGTTTGTCATTTCTCCGATCACAAATGCAGACATGGTTTTAGGTTTACGCGGTGCGAGACACAGTGTAAAATGACAGTACAAGTCATTATAATCCATAATTATGTCACCACTGGATGCAACAAATGCCTCGTTTGTAATGGGTATTATTGGTTTTGTCTCGTTGCTCCGGGACACAGCACCACAGTATGGTGAGGGGTGTAACATTTCCGTCAGACACTTGAGGTATTCGGCCAATCACAACCCACTGGATAGCAGGCCAATCAGAGCACACCTTGCTTTTCAGAATGATGAGCTTTATAAAAATCAACACGTTTCAGAAAGGCAGGGCATAAAGGAGAAATGTACAGTATGTGGAAAAGGCATTCTTTAACATTTGTGTAATGAAATGTGTTTAAGGTTATATTTAGCAATGTCATGACCCCTTTAAAAGTCTCTTCTGCTCACCAAGCCCGTGTTTAATTTGCTGTACTTTGGATCAAAAACATTTTGAAGTTTTTACCATTCAAAATAACGGTTTACGTAAATTGTAAACTACATAAATTTATTCCTGTGATTTTAAAGCATCATTACTCAGTCTTCAGTGTCACATGAACTATCAGAAATCATTCTAATTTTCTGCTCAAAAACAGCGGAGTAGAATTCTCAGGTTTCTTTGAATAGCATGTTCAGAAGAACAGCATTTATCGGAAATCGAAATTTTTGTAACATTATAAATGTCTCTCCACTTTTGATCCATTTAAAGCCTCAAGTATTTATTTCTATAATCTCTTAACCCCCCCACTAAAATAAATAAAGTGAGCATGTTGATAGGACTATCAGGAGCAACTATATTACATTAGCAATCACTAATATTGCCCACGTGATTCTATATCATAGACATTAACTGTATTCTCATACAGTACAAAAACGACATTCTATATCTGAGAAACTAAATTATGCACATGTTTGAACCGATATTTGCAGACAGCTTATTTCAGTAATGATTGGTCTAAACATTTAGACAGTATTGTTTATAGAACAAAACCATCCTCACGCTGTACAACATTTAGATGTAATGAAAGATAGCAAAATCATATTTCAAAATGTTGCACTCGATTTCACATTAGTCTGGAATTATAGTTTGAGAAAAGTCCAACTAGTAAGCATTCAAGTCTGTCACAACACCATCTAATGCAAATAAGAATCATTACTTACTCTGCCTGAAAGATCTCCTCCACTAGCTCCAGCCGTGCTCATGTTCAATCTGTGAGGTAAACAAAGCGTATTCCTCTCAGCGTCTATCAAAAATGAAAAGCGTCAAGAACATGTTGCTGCTTTGTTTATCGTGATGTGAGATGCGTGACATGTGGGCATTTACATGGAGATTTGTAATATCAATAGCACTATTGGCGCATGATCGTCGAGAGAAGTTTAGACTGGGAAAACTGGACCTTTCGTTAGTTTCATATGGACTTCTTGATCACCAAACAGGTTTTTGGTAAGAGTTAGTTCTTTTAAGAATACACCCATCAAGTTTATAGATACATTTCTCATGTCTGTATGTAAAGTATTCGCTGAGTTTATTTTAGTGTCGCGTTTCGAAAAGCACTCCATGGAGACCGTGAAGACTGAGTGCACCATTTGTTTTCTTTATTTTACAAGATCAGTTTGATATGGCGAGTATACACCAATAAAAGTAGACCCTTCACAGATTCAAGTGATGAATTACTTGGGTCCAATCAAAGGTGACAAAGCATGAAGTTATTCTGTCATCTGGGAAACATACAAGTGTTCCCAGACGGCACCTTTGTCGACCCCAGTCGGTTAACCATGTAAGAAACCCAGATCACAGGGCTAAAACAAACTTTTGAACAGTGCAAGTTTGAGATGTCCAGCCTCAACATGTCAGATTTTCTCAAAAAAAAAAAAAAAAAAAAAAAACTAATTTAAGTTATTCATGCATCCTATAGCCAGAAACGAAACTATCATGGACAGGGGGGCATATATGTGGTCTCAAACACATCACCTGAAAGTGAAAGGAACAGGAAGTTAGTTTGACATGCATGTTCTACAGGGAATTCAGCCAAAAGCACGAGCCACTGAATACATACTTGGCTGATAGTAGTCATAAACCTCAACGACCGCTGGCTTAAAATTCTGCACTGCAAGAACCGGTTTCAGTTGTAGCCTGTAGGTCATGGGGATGCCCTTGGGAACCTACGAGATGGAAGGGATGAAGAGAAGTACATAAAGCACATACAGCACACATGAAGGGGGCAGATAGAACATAACCAGTGCACATCTCACCTCTTTCAGATACACAAGCACATGGTCATTTCCAGAATCAACCCGCTGCACTAGTGGAGCAAATGAATCTGGTGGGGATCCAATCTGAGAGGAAAAGTTCATTAACATCTGAAGCGGCTTCAGGCATCTTGGGACTTTACAAACAAGTCATCTTAAAACATACAAACCAGGGCCGTGTCTGCTGTGAAACCCGACAGGAGTTTAATGTTCACTATAACCATGTTAGTAGTTGGTTTTGCACCATTGTACCTAAAATGGGAGTTAAAGAAATAAAAATAAACTAGCATTTGGGTGCATCTACAAAAATGGCTTAAATGCCATTATATCACTTCGGAGCAGCATTGTGCAGAAATTCCAATTGTATGCTTTGATATTATGGGCACAGGTGGGACAGAACTACATTCAGACTGGCTTTCATGTGACAGTCACAGAATTGAGCAGGCACAGAGCAGCCTTAGCTCAGCGGTGTAAAGATGCGTTCAGGTTCAAACAGAACCAGGTCAAAGCGGTTCTTACTTCACAGTGACGTTCAACATGAGATCGGCTCCACGCACTTTGCAGTCTCTTGCCACCTTCACTTCAACGCTAAGTGTTCTGGAAGCTTTAATGGGTGTCGGGATGTTGTAGAAACAGGCAACCTGGGAGTACAAAACTAAACATGACAAGGAGAACTGGGACAAGCATAGAGGTAGAAGTTAAGCAGGTGAAGGTACAGACCTGCACAGACACACAGGTGGACCCCTTCGCTCTAACACTATATCTGCCAGGAACATTCTTCAGCGGCTTCTCCTGATATAGCAGCCGGTTGTCCCGATTCACATTGAAATTATAAAGCTCTCCTGCTACAGACGATGACTGTACAGTAACTGTGTTAGAGCCCTCCAGGCTGAACACTTGAGCGGCGAGCAGAGACAGAGCATGAAGAGCCACGACAGTGTCCTAAAAATAAGCACCAGATTAAAAACGTCACTCAGATAGGCGGTCTGTGCTCATGTTTGGTAGTCAGTCACCTGGGTGGACGAAAAGCCTCCATAAGGATTCTGCTGGGTCACAAGCCAGTTGACAATGCGGTTAGCATAGCCCAGATCAGCGGTCGTGAGAGGCTGTACAGAGAGAACAGCCAGCAGCACATATGAGCTGATCTCCACCGCCAGAGTATCACCAGATGAAGTCTGAGACCAGTGGAGCTCATTGCCTTAGGACAAGACCGAGTACAGAAAGTTGATGCCAACGACCCTGAACAACATCTCAAACAAGAGACTAGTGAATCTCACCTTCAGAAATGGCAACATTGTCCAAGGCATTTAAAAGCTGTGCTCGAGTGCTGGTCTCTCCAGCCAGACTGAAGGTGTAGGCAAGCAGAGCCGTGGCATAAGTGTTTCCCACATTCCCAACGACAGGCCTCAAGCAAGACAGAGCATTGGTAATGATGGGATCCTGAAAGCAAAGCAAATTTTAGACTACATAACCAGAAGATCATCTTCAAGGAGCTTGTATAACTACTGGTAGGTATGTTTTTACCGTGACAAGGACATCTAGTTCAAGCAGCGATGCAACAACGTAGCCCGTCATGGTCACATTATCACCAACACCACCCTAAAACGGAGCAGCATAATGACGATGATCAGAGGTCTGACTCATTATGGCACATTTAAAGAAACATGCACCTTCATGGCATTGTGGTACAGAGTTCCCTGTTGCATGAAACAGCCATCTGAACCCTGCTTGCTGATCAACCAATCCTTTGCACTCTGGAGGATACTGGGATCAATGAAGATGAAACTCCTTGCTAGGCCAAAAGACCTCATGACGAAGGCAGTCAACCTGGTCATGAAAAGTCTCATTACAACCCAATTCAACAATGCACAATACAAGAACAGCATGAAAACACACCATGTATTGGATGCACCATAACCAAACGTGCTGTATGAACCATCACTGTGTCTGTAGTTCAGTTGTCCTTGGTATCCTGTTTAAAAAAAAAAAAAAAAAAAACCTTGGTCAAGATTCACTCCAATGAGCTGGACTTGTAGGATTTGGCAATCTGTACCGCTCTGAAGGTAACCAATGGCAGTCTGTCGGATGGTTGGGGTGAGCTGCGCAGTGACCTCCAGGTACTGTAGGACGTAAATATTGGGAGCAAGAACGATCAGATTTTGTTCTCCACAGCCAGATGGCATCTGTAGCAAGTCCTTAAGATTCTTTAGTGCACGACCCATTATGTCCCCTAAGAGGAAGAAAACAAGGTCAAACCAAAAAGCCATCAGAAACCAAAGTTATTTAGCTGAACGTCAGTGTCCATTTCCCCTTAATGAAATGCTTTACCAAGGACTGAAACCGAGCATTTGGTTGATCCCTGGATCACATTTGTTGGAAACGTTAGAGACGAGTCTTCTGAAAGGACACTTCCTGTGGACCAAACAGAACAGCACAGAGTGCTAGGTCACAGTTTACTGGTACAGGGAGAACGCATTTAGAAAGTCAGTGCAAACAAACCCTTTGGACACAATAACCAACTCTGGGTGAAGATCCTTTCAACTCCCTCAGGCTATAAAAAGCAATAAAACACCACATCAGTAAAGCATCATGAGCAAACTCCAGAAAGCTGGTTAACACTTACCAGAACAAGAAGACTTTGAGTAACTACGTCAATGCGTCCTCTCACCGGCACAGTCACAACTTCAGAGCCACATCGAACCTGGGATTGTTCAGCCTGAGCACTGACAGTCACATTTACAGATCCTATAGTACAGACAGGAAGTGAGCAACAACTCATACGCCTCAATTTAGAAACGGACAGAGCAAAACAGACCGAGAACAGAAGCCGAGAAAATCCATTTAAAGGTCTTTCTCCCATTGGCACAGACACAGGATGAATACGGCTCATTGAAAGGTTTAAGACTGAAGTCCAAGGAAGAAGCTGGAGTCACTTTAACCTGCCAATGAATTACATTAGTGCACATTGAGTAAAGACAAGACTATTTTCCCCTACTGATCCATTTAGGGTGTGTGATATTGACATGCTTCATTTTCTGGGATGGAGTTTTTGCACTAGTAACTTGGCTGGTTTAGGCCTGTCAGGGACGGCTGTCTACTGAAGTTTTCCATATTTAGTGGTGGTCAGTTGATAACAGTGACCGAAATAAAGACTCACTGAAATCATTCTTCCACGAGATATTGCTTAATTTTGATAGAATACAAAACTCATGCAAGGTGGCCCTGTATTTTACATTGCTAATTCTAACAGTCACAATAGGCTACAGCTTACTGTGAAAGCTCAAAGCAAGGTGACACTATCAGCTTGCACACCTCTAACAGAATTAGATATTACACAAACACCCATTACACTAATAAATATGAATCCAGACCATGATGCACTTGGACAGATAGTTGAAGACGGTGGCCTTCAGCTCAAAAGACTCTCCACGGATGATGGAGTAAGGCAGGGAGAGCTCCAGGAAGAAAGGTTGGAAGACCATCAGCTGAACAGGAGGAGCCAAACCGAAACCTCTGGAGGACAAGCAGAACGCCTCAGTCTCCCATGTGGTGATTGAGTCAGGAACCTTCAGAGTAATTCGTGTGGATCCAGAGTTTCTGAAGAAACAAGGACACCGGAAGACAAATGAGGGGGCAGGAGAAATAAACAAATTGAGGCCAAGTGGCTTTAGATCAGTGATGTCAAACTCAGTTCCTGGAGGACCACAGCCCAGCAGAGTTCATATTCAACTCCAAACACCTGATCCAGCTAATCAAGTACTTCAGGGTAGAGGCCTGCACTCCCGCTGGAGGACCGCGGGACCCAACGTAACAGGGTGCGGCGCGGGACAACTCTTGATGGGCGAGTGCAGGTGCAGGCGGGAAGAGACTCGTGTGTGTGGCGGAGAATAAAATTTGTGGGACTCCCGCAAAATAGAAATTAGCTAAAAGCATTTAACACAAATTGTTATTTGTTGCACAAAAGCAAAAATAACTATTAACATTGAAATGATTGACAAGCGCAAGCTAGTTTCCATTTATAACACTCGTTTAAAAGGTTGCGCAATGTAGCCAATCACAGACTCAGCTGTTGATTTCTGGAACGCAATGGCCAATCAGAGGTGATCAAGTTAGAATCTACTCCCTGCAGTGCTGAAACTGCGTGCTCACAAATCCTCTCATTTTAACATGGTGTAGACACGGTGAGAGATTCATCGTGCATATTTAATGTGATAACAGCTTTATGAGACCGATTAACTGAGACATCAGCTTTTAGTGATGAAGCGCGCTGCTCTCATTATGCCATGCCAAACCATGCACGCAGCAGCACATACTTGCTTTTGTTAAAAATAACAGTGGTTTGTGAATGTTGATGCTTACCCTAAATAAATTATCGGGAGCGTTTATGCTGGTATGTTGGCGCTTGAGATATTACAGAACCATTTTATGTAAATTTCTTCAATGTACTGAATCTATAGAGATTACTTTTATGCGGGCGGGAGTGGGACAAAACATGAATGACACGGGCGGGAGCAGATAAGATCCATTTCTGCGGGAGTGGGCGGGCGCAGGACAGAATTTTGCGGGAGTGGGACTGAAATCCATCAGTCCCATCAATCCAAGCAAGTTTCTAATTCAGGGTTATTTGAAAACTACATGGCATGCATGTTGGAAACACTCGTCAGGCCTGTGGCCCTCCAGGAACCGAGTTGGACACCTGCTTCAGGCCTAGTCCACATACATGGGTATTTTTAAATTTTTAAAACACCATATGAGAATGCAAATACTATGAAGCAGTCACGAGCATGCCAAACCAACAAGTGGCAATATAAACCTAACCGTAAAGCCACATTGGCCAATTGCAGACTTGCCTCATGTAAACAAAGGAAATAAGTGCTCCAATGTCACAAGCCAAAAATCTCCAGTTGCAATGTTGTGTAGCCAGTGAAACCAGAGTTCAGAAAATCTTCACCTTGGCAGTAGTTTAAGGTTCCGTTTCAGTGCCCCGATACCACATTTGTGTGGATAAAATGGCCAAACCGCATAGAAAAAGCTGCAGTTTTGAAAACCCATGTTCGTGTGGACGGGGCCTTAGATGAGTCAATTTGCTGAAACGAGAGATTCACTTACCCCACTTGAGCAAGCTGCCAGAGCCATGTTTCTGGAAAGTAAGTCCTGACGGTCACCTCAAAAGAGGAGCTGCTGCCATCGCCTCCACCACCCCCGCCGCTTCCAGCGTCCATGCCGCTTCCAGCGCCCACGCCAATGCCGCTTCCAGTGCCCATGCCAATGCCGCTTCCAGCGCCCATTGAATGGGCTAGAGGAACACCCCCCCCCCCATTAATACCCGGACTGCGACAATTGAGGTTGTCCATTCATTATAGGCACAAGACAAATCAGACTGCTGTAAACCCTGCAGATTACCGATTGGCCAGACAGAAGTCACTACCGGCATCATTGAACTTGCAACACGAGACCTGCTAAAATCAGCACACCGAGGATTGAACAACTTTTTGAATGAGCACACCTTTAAAATATCTTTGGCCCAGTTGTTACTTCCAATAAGTGTGGTTATTTCCATTGCTTTTTAAAACCGTCTCATTAATGAAAGTCTCAATTACTATACATTTAAAAATACAAAAGCGGTTTTGGTTTTCAGACAAGTGCATAATTTTGATGTCGGTGCATCCCATTAGACCAAGCAGGTTTAGCACAACTTGCATTTGGATGCAACAAGTCTGGAAGAAAACCACCATTTAAGCAATAGTTGTGCTACTGGACTTCCACTTTAAAAAAAAAAAAAAAAACCCAGTCCATTTCCCAGCAAACCTTTAAAAAGTACAGGTATTTAGATCAAGAACCTAAGACATACCGTGATGGAAGTTGCTATAGTAATACAGGCGGCCTTTGTACGTCAGGCAGTTAGGTTCTTGGACAGCGAGATTTGTTGTGACCTTCATCCCCACACTCTGTCAAAGCAAAGCAAAAGATGCATTTGAAAAGTCAATCAGTATTCAGCCACTAAACTGCAAACATCCAACCTTGAAAACTTTGTAAGCATCATTTGTAGGAACAGCTCGACGGGGTCGAACATTCAGGCACTCCTGTTCATCCTGAACAGGAAATGGATAATACGACCGTGGTTTAACTGGGAGCAAGTTGAACACCTAAACCATGGGGGGGGGGGGGAGAAATGCCATGTCAAAAACACCTCATTAAGCGATTTAAGAGGAAGTCACAGATCTTGAAGCCAACCAATGAGTTGCTCTAGTTTGCAGAACTCATTCTAAAGAATAACCTTGATGTCAAATCAACTCCAACAAGAACTTATTGAACTGCACATGGATACCGCTTCAGTGCTCAAACGTCTTCTTGGCGCCATGATCCGGACGCTCTGATCAACAGCGCTGAGGCCACACAGGGATCCTGCTTGAGCAGAGACTGTCAAAACATTTCCCTCACTAGGAACAGCCGTAGGTGGAGAAAACTGCAGAGACACCTGGAACGAGAACAAGCTCAAGCTGAAGGACATGTTGCCACATCCCACAAAGTGCTAGATTACCACATACCCGGTTTTGGAAACACATTTCAGTGTGAAAATCTGCACTAGCAGCAACTACGTTCTCACTGGGCAGAACACAGAAGGCCAGAATCTGCACTACTGGAGCCATATCAGGACTGACAGACAGCTCAAATGACACTGTGCCACTTAGTGCATTTAAAGCCCTCACTTGGACCTTCTGAAATCCATGCAGAACAATCACCCCTCTGGACAAGACCTGACAGAAAACAAAGATAGACTGGTGCATTTAAAAGGTGCCCCCCCCAAAAAAAAGGATCAACCAGCATCCACTCACCATATAGATGATGTCAGCACTGTAGTCACCAGTTTCTCCAACAAAAGAATACTGGATTGTCACTGGATACTTGGCACCACATTTCAGTGGCTGCTCAAGCTTCTCTATAGTCAGTATACTAAACATTGGGTTGTTGGGAGTAGCAGTTTGGAAAAGCGGCACAGTATGGCTCTGGGGTCTGAAGTAGGGCGATTTATAACCATAAAAATGCTGTGAAGTTGCACTTGCCTGAGGAACAAATTAAGAGAATTGTTTTTGCGAGAAGTCATCTAAAATAAATAAATAAACCACACAAGGATTTAGTCAAATCATACCAACAGATTCAGATCAGCTTTAGGGAAATCAGCAGTGTTCAGGGAGAAAGCGGCCAGTCCATTCATGTTTGTAGTCAGATTCAGCAGCAGTCTGTGCCATTGGCCACCATCCAGGAGATAGACTGCCTTGCGTGCAATTGGAGTCCCATTGAAATAAGATGCGGAGATCTGTTGGGAAAAATAAAGGTTATGAAAAGAAACCAATGAGAACAGTCTAAGAGATGAACCTTTACTCACCTTTCCGTTCATCACTGATCCATAGTTAAAGAACTCTGGGAGGTCCAAAAACGAGACCATGCCAACTTGAAACGTAATGTACACGGTTGTGGATTTTGACATCATTACATCTGGGAGGAAACAAATGCCACAAATATAAAGGCACCAAATGAAAACAAGCCACTGGTTCCAATCAGCCAGCAGCTCACCTGTTCCCTCCTCAGTGACGTTCACATTAACAAGAAATTCATTTCGCAGGTCATCTTCAAATTTGGTGCCAAAAAACTCAGACATACTGATGGTAAGGGAAGCACAACCCGTGATGTTCAACTGGTAGCAGAACAAAGACAATCAGATTTAAAATGTAAACATGCAGAAGAAAAAAAAATCCTGCTCTGTACAACAGTCACATACCATAACAGTTTTGATAAGACACACACGAGACAGGCCAGGTACCACAATGTACGGGAACAGCTCACGGCACACTTCCACCAATGCTTGACCAGGTACAGGTTGCCCATATGTGTATCTGGGAAAACATTAAGGATCAAGAACACAAACCAAAAGACAAGTCAAGAAAATTAGGTTACTCTTACTTGGCACAAGCCTCAACTTTCAGTCCCACATCTGCCACACTATACGTCGTTGGTGCAGTCAAGATGACATCAAACTTGGGTAAAACTAAACCAGAAACAAAGGCTTTAAATTAGGACCGCAGTCATCAAAACTAACCATTGCTCATCATATGTGGTGACTTACCATACTTTTTCACTTCAAAAACCCGTGAGATCATCCGGTCATCAATAAAAGCCCTCAGTGTGTACATCCCGACCTGAGCCTCAGGGTTTAACTGGTGAGAAAGCTCCAATATCCACCCCGTTGAGGAAACATTTGTCCACTGACCAATCTGGTTATTAAGAAGGTCCTAATTGGAGGGAAAAACTTGGAATAAGAAATTGCAAGCCTAAAGTAAAAACACCAAGAACATGCAGAGGTAAACCAGTGTTGTATCATTCCAAAGACTTGGTCCAGAACAAGTTCTCACCTCCACCACCACTAGACTGTACTGTAAAGACAAACAGTAACATTAGGCATTTAAAAATTTTTAAAAAAAAAAACACCCAGAAGACTAGCAGATCAGGCTTTACCATTTGATCAAGAGGAACAAATTTAGGATCCATGGTCACAGCCCTGAAGTTCACTGCAGAAGGGAAACAACTCATACATTACTAATGCATTTGAACATGTTGAAAGACCACTACACGTTCTGATCACTTCTAACTCATACAAGGTTCATTTGTATCTCACCCGTTTGTCCCGGATTGTAGATGGGTTTGTCTGTTTGGATGAAGGTCAAAGGCAGGTAACGTCTGAACATGACTTTGCGCTCTTCGGTCATTTTGAAGAACCTCCCTTGAAGTACCACCCTCAGTTTCTGCACTAATTCTCTATCTACTTCAGGAGCCTGTAGAGAAACACATGGTTAATACAAGGGGGAGGAAGGGAAAAAAATTTAAGAGCTCCACATGTGCCACACAGTAACAGACCTGGAAACTAAAACAGCGGTGAAACGCTGTTGAAGACGTCTGCTGCACAAGCAGTGTTGTCAGGTTTTTGTCATCAACCAGAAAGATGGTCATTGTAAGACTCTCATTGGGTTTTAAAAGACTTGCACACAATTTGGCATCAGAGCAGGACTCGATCACTGCAGAAAACGTCACCAAGAAGGATCTGTGGAAACATCAGACAGACCTCTAGTATTAGAAAATAAAAATCATAAGTCAGATTAGCACACATTCATGCAGGTGTATAATCAGAGGTAGTTTCCATAATATAGGGACTAAAAACAAACTTTGAGGAATCATGTTAAAACAGAAAGAGGGACATTTTATTTTTCCACTTTTCACACATTTACTCACGGTCCTGATGTCTGTCCATCAACAGCAAAGAGAAAAAGGACTAAAATGAGCCCTTTCCAAACACAAAACTCCTTCATAGCCATGAAGTGTGATCACCCAAGACTACAACCAAATCAAATGCCTCTTTCAGAAAACCTGCAGCAATTCACCAAGCCTACGACTCTTCACTGCTCTACAGCCACTCCCAATCAGCTGCACAGATGGCAGCGATATTTAAACATTCTTAATTGGAGGAATTCATTGAGCTCGTTAATGTCAATAATTAACCTCCAGCTAGTGATGGGAGAAACGAACCTTTTCAAAGCTTTGACTCAATTGAACCAATTGCTTCGCAAAATGATTCAATGTTTCGAAGCGCTCGAAACACCACATGCTGTGACTCCTGCTGGTCAAAACTATGTAAATGCAACAAAGGCTCAGGCTAAAACATGCATAAAAACTGCTTTTCACAAACCCAATGCAAATGCTTTCTTGAAAGTATAATACAGTACCACCGCTCCCTATACGCAGAGTACGCAGTTGCTCAAAAAAAAAAAACCTTTCGTTCAATATTAATATTAACATATACATTACAGTACATAAATAAAAAAATAAATACAAACATATATTAACATAATTATTAAGGTGAACGCAGTAGACAGGCGAAGCACACGTGCATAACTTTTAGGTACATTCATAATCCTGTGAAACTTTTTTGGATGTTGACGTTAATAACGTGTTTTAATGTCGGTAATAATATCACCACCGCATCTGCCTTAATATTCACTCAGAGTTTCCATGTTCCCTTACGAAAATGAACCATAATTTTACAACGAAAAAAAAAAACATGGTTCTTGTAGCAGTGGTAACGTCTCAGGTTTCTTATGTAACCATGGTTCCCTGAGTAGGGAACGAGACACTGCGTCCTCTAGGGGTCGCTATGGGGAACGCCTCGTCGTGACCCGTGCCTGAAGCATACATTGAAAAAACACCAACTCGTTGACCGGCGACAGCCATGACGTCACTACCGGTGCGACTATAGTATAAATAGGCGCCGGGAGCACACGTCATTCACTTCTTTGTCTGAAGCTTGTGTCCACAGCATGGCAAGAAACCTAGAGGACGCAGTGTCTCGTTCCCTACTCAGGGAACCATGGTTACATAAGTAACCTGAGACGTTCCCTTTCATGGGAACTTCGAACTGCGTCCTCTAGGGGTTGCTATGGGGAATGATATACCCACGCCACCATGCTGAGGGGAGTGCAAGCCAGAACCATGGCGAGCACTAAGAACCAACTCTACGATGTCTGCCAGGTTTACCCACAGATGCCTCTCCGTCACTACCATTGCCGCCAAAGATCTGCCCATGGCAGAGGCAGCCTGTTTAGTAGCACGGAGAGCATGATCCGTGGTGCGGCACAACTCAGCCATCTCATCAGGAGAAAGGCCCTCGCTTTTATCCAGGTCTTTCAGCAGGTCAGCCTGGTATGCCTGGAGCACCGCCATCGTGTGCAGCGAAGCAACAGCCTGACCTGCTGCTGCCATATGCCCTGCCATTCAAGCGAGATGTAGTCTGAAGGGGCACGGATGGCAAGGAGGGAGTTTTGAGAGACGATGTCTCACCCCTAGAGAGATAGCTGGCTAGCGTCTCTTCTACAGGGGACATTCTCTCATAGCCGTTTTCGCGAATCGCCTTGATGTTCGCATAACTGGTATGCTGAAACCGATGGATGCGTGAGGAAAACGGC